GCAAGTAAAATCTGCGATTGAGTGCAAACAACAAATAAAAGGTAATTCAACATGTACACGGCCTCTATGGGACTCAACAATACCATCACATAGCCTAAACATGACTTCAAACATGATTTGCAGTCACATTTCTATAACACATGGAGAGCATATAGTTAATAACAAGTTATTCAACTTCACAGCTCCACAAAATGGACCAAGTCACAATTCCTACGGTGCACGCCTGTCACCTAGCATGTGCGTCACCTCCAAACCAATCACAAGACACATAATACGGGGTTTCATACCCTTAGAACTAGATTTAAAACTATTGCTTACCTCAATTCGAGCAAAATCCCTACTCCAATACGCCTTTGCCTTGCAAATCGACTTCCGAACGCATCCAATCTAGCCACAAACAATTCGATACAATCAATACGGTCTAAAGGAATCAATTCCACAAGAAAATTCGAAATTATAAATCAAATTCCGAAATCAGCTCAAAGCCGGCCCGTGGGCCAACATCTCGAAATCCGACAAAAATCACAAAACCCAAAAGCCCATTCAACCGCGAGTTTAACCATACCAAACTTACTCAAATCCGATATCAAAATCCCATTCAAAACCTCAAAAATCTATCCTAAGAACTTGTCTTCATTTTTCCTAATTTTCCACCCCAAATGACAAATTAAATGATGGAAACAAAGGCATAATCATGGAAATTAACCAAAACCAGATAGGAATCACTTACCCCAAATACTCACGTGAAAATCTCTCCAAAGATCGCCTTCTATAGAGCTCCCAAATAAATTTTATGTTATGAACTCAAAACCCTCATTTTTTGAAACTTATATTCTGCCTAGTTACGCCTTCATCGCGATCACGGAACATCCTTCGCCATCGCAAAGCATAATTATGTTGCCCCTCAAACTAACCCTGCGCGAAAACGTAACCACAATCGCAATCGCGTACAGTTGATTCCTCATAGCTACGCGATCGCATCCTTCCCATGCGACTGCATAGAACAAATGCCTGGACCAAGCTCCTGCCTCCAATACTCTAAGTGAACGCGGCCTTAGCCACGCATTCGCGAACCACAACATTCCACAACTACGTGTTCGCATCTCCCTGCTCGCGGACGCGTAGAACAAAATCCTTCACTGCTCAGATTAGCCTAGACCTTCCCATGCGATCACATAAGAGGAAACCAGATCAGAGATACCAGAAAACTTCAGCTAACAAGCCAAGTCCAAAATCGATCTGTTAACCATCCAAAATTCACCCGAGGCCCTCGGGACCTCAACCAAACATACCATCAAGTCCCAAAACATCATACGAACATAGTCGAACCCTCAACTCACCTAAAACAACATAAAAAAATACGAATCGCACATAGATTCAAGCCTAATGAACTTTGAAACTTCAAATTTCCACAAACAACGCCGCAACCTATGAAATCACGTCCAATTTACCCCAAATTTTGCACACAAGTCACATATGACACCACAGACTTGCTCTAACTTTCGGAATCGGAATCCGACCCCGATATCAAAAAGTTCACTCTCGGTCAAACTTCCCAAAAATTTAACTTTCGCCATTTCAAGCCTAATTCCACTACGGACCTCCAAATTACAGTACAGACACGCTCTTATATCAAAAATCACCCAACGGAGCTAATGAAACCATCAAAACTCCATTGCGAAGTCATTTGCGCCTAAGTCAACATCTGGTCAACCATTTCAACTTAAGCTTTCGACTATGAGACTAAGTGTCTCAATTCCTTCCGAAATCTTTTGGGGCCCGAGCCTACTATCCTGGTAAGTCTTATAACACCTATAAAGAACAAAAGGAGCAGTAAATGGGGGAATGGGGCTACAACTCTCAAAATGGCTGGCCGGGTCGTTACATCCTCCTCCTCTTAAGCAAACGTTTGTCCTCGAACGGGTCTAGAAACATACCTGGAGTCTCAAATAGGTGTGGATATCTGCTTCGCATCTCCCGCTTCATCTCTCAAGTAGCCTCCTAAACTAGCTGACCTCTCCACTGCACCTTCACTGAAGCAATGTTCTTTGACCTCAACTTTTGAACCTGCAGATCCATAATGGCCAACGACTCCACATCATAAGTCAAATCACCATCCACTTAAACCGTGCTGAAATCCAAAACATGAGACGGATCGCCGACATACATCCGGAGCATAGAAACATGAAATATTGGATGCACACTCAACAAACTTGGTGGCAAGGCAAGCTTGTAGGCCACCTCCCCAATCCTCTGATATACCTCAAACGGCCCAATATACAGAGGGCTTAACTTGCCCTTCTCCCCGAACCTCATAACACCCTTCATGGGTGAAACCTTGAGCAAAACCTTCTCCCCAACCATGTAAGCAACATCATGGACCTTCCCGTCGGCATAAATCTTTTGTCTGGATGGCACCGTGCAAAGCCGCTCTTGAATCAATTTAACCTTGTCCAATGCATCTTGAACCAAGTAGATAACTGATTGCCTAGCCTCTCCCGGCTCAAACCAACCCACCGGAGATCTGCACCATCTCCCGAGCAAAGCCTCATACGGAGCCATCTGAATGCTCGACTGGTAGCTGTTGTTGTAGGCAAACTCCGCGAGCTACAGAAACTGATCCCAAGAACCACCAAAATCAATGACACAAGCATGTAGCATGTCCTCCAATATCTAAATAGTGTGCTCGGACTGTGCGTTCGTATGAGGGTGAAATGTTGTGCTCAACTCAACTTGGGTGCCCAACTCTTGTTGTACTGCTCTATAGAACTGTGATATAAATTACGTGCCTCGATCTGAAATGATGGACACTGGCACCCCATGAAGGGGAAAAATCTCGCGTAAAAAAATCTTAGCCAACCGCTCCAAAGAATAAGTAGTCCCAACTGGAATGAAGTGCGCGCTGACTTAGTCAGCCGATCCACAATCACCCAAATAGCATCGAACTTCCTTGAAATCCGTGGGAGCCTAACTACAAAATCTATGGTGATCCGATCCCATTTTCACTATGGAATCTCTAACCTCTGAAGCAATCCACCCGGCCTCTAATGCTCATACTTTACCTGCTGACAATTAAGGTCCCGAGCTCCAAACCCCACTATATCCTTCTTCATTCTCCTCCACCAATAGTGCTGCCTCAAGTCCTGATACATCTTCGTGGCACCCGAATGAATGGAATACCGCAAACTGTGGGCCTCCTTAAGAACCAACTCACGTAGCCCATCCACATTAGGCAAACAAATCCGACCCTGCATCCTCAATACCCCATCATCCCCAATAGTCACATATCTAGCATAACTGTGTTGTACCGTGTCTGTAAGGACAAGCAAATGTGGATCATCATACTGGCTCTCTCTGATGCGATTATATAAGGAATACCGAGAAACCACACAATCTAGAACCCGACTGGGATCCAAAATATCCAATCTTATAAATTGGTTGGCCAAGGCCTGAACATTAACCGCAAGCGGTCTCTCACCAATAGGAATGAATGCAAGGCTACCAATACTCACTACCTTCATACTCAAGGCATCGGCCACCATATTGGCCATCCCGGGATGATACAGAATAGTAATTTCATAGTCCTTTAGAAGCTCCAACCATCTCTGCTGCCTCAAATTTAGATCCTTCTGTTTGAACAAGTGCTGGAGGCTCCGATGATCTGCAAACACCTCGCACGACACACCATAGAGATAATGTCTCCAAATCATCAATGTATGAATGATGGAAGCTAACTCCAAATCATGAACAGGGTAGGAAGGATTGGGTTGAGTGATTAGGGAAGCTCATGGTACGTCCACCTAAAATAGGTTTTAAGTGATCGAGCGTACATTATAATTTGTGATAGCAAAAACTTGCGTTAGTGTGACCCTAAATAAAGAAGGTATTGTTCCGAATAAAGGGTGTGTTTGGTATAACGGAAAATATTTTCCGTGGAAAATGTTTTCCAAGAAAATATTTTCTTGGAAAACAAATAGTAATCTTATCCATTTTTCGGTGTTTGGTACACAAATTAAGGAAAATAACTTCTCAAGAGTATTCATAAATAATTTAGATACAATAAACATGAAACCATAAACTTTTGAACAAACAACCTTCCGAACCCACAAATTTCATAAACTTCTGAACCACTAAACTTTCATAACCGCGAACTTTCGAACCCGTAAACTTCCAAACACATAAACCTCTGAACTCATAACTTTGGAACTTGTAAAATTTCGAACCTGTAAACCGAAAGATGAATAACTAAAGCTAATGTATAAAAAAATATTTTTTTCCGGGGGGGACATAGGGTGGGTTTGCGGGGTGTGGGTGGGGGTGGTGGCGCAGAAAAATGAAAAAATATAAATTTGAAATTACAAAAAAAAAAGTAAAAAAGTTTTTTTTTTTTGCGGGGGGCAGGGGAGAGATGGGATAGCACGGTGGGTCGTGACGGAAAAAAACTAAAATTTGAAAAAAAAAAAACCACTTTGGAGAGAGGAGGTGGGGTGGGGTTGGGTGGGTGGGGGTGAGGTGGGGAAGGCTGAGANTTGATAAGGAAAATATTTTCCTCCAATTGGAGAAAAATGAGTTGATAAGGAAAATATTTTCCAAAACATTTAAGCCAACCAAACATGGAAAAATTGAAAAACATTTACCGAAAAATATTTTCCTTCATACCAAACACACCGAAAATGGTGTATTCAAAAAATGAAGCCTAACAAGTAATCATAAGCCGTGGGAACAGCATCTACGGCCGTTGCCCATTTCCGCTGCAACGTTCTCAATTAACAAAGGTAGAACAGAATAGTAATATTAATACCAACTGGGGATTGTAGTTACAAGGTATAGAACTAGACTAAGAAAATTGACACAGAAGAAGGTGAGAAGCCAGAAAGAAGGGGGATGGGAAGAATCAGACTCTCAACATAACAGATGCCTACTACAATACTCATTCTACTCCTTATTTATAGATACTGCTACTCCACTTTCATTTTGCTCCATGCCTCAAGCGTTTTCTCTCACCCGGGCTGCCAGATAAAATCTGTTAGCATTGTTGTAGGCCGTTTCACTCGCTTGCTGCACCTCACACTTTCTGTAACAACTTTTGCTGAGGTGGTCTTATTGCTGGTAGGATCAGTTGATTGTGCACTTTTATCAGCTGATTGTGCATTTTTATCTGACATGGCCATAACATTACCTCCCTCCCCAAACACATCCTTGTCCGCAAGGTTCACATCATTAGCTGTAGACTCAGTGTCAAGTAAGCGATAGGGAGTGACTTGTTATGCCAGACTGCCCACACATTTCTTAAGCATAGAAATGTGAAAAACAGGATGAATCTTGGCCTCCTCCGGTAATTCCAGCTTGTCTGCAACAAAGCCGACACGTTTTAACACTTTGAAAGGGCCAAAGTACTTTCGATCCAACTTATGCTGCTTGTGAAAACGAACAGAATGTGGTCGGTATATTTTAAGCTTGACATAAGCCCAATCCCCAATATCCAGTTATAGCTCATGGCATTTACAATAAGCAAACTTCTTCATCCTTCGCTAAGCACGAAGCAGATTCTCCTTAAGGACCCCCAAACTTCACTCCTACAAAGAAAATATTGTTCCACTAGCTCATGGGAACTGCCACTGAGAACATAGCGAGCAATAGTTGGAGGAACACGACCATCTAAAACTCGAAAGGGACTCGTGCCAGCCAAAGTTTGAAGGGGAGTATTGTACCAATATTCGGCCCAAGGAAGCATGTCGACCCAATCTTTAGGTAAGTCAGCCACATAGCAGCGCAGGTACTATTCGACACACTTGTTAAGGGCTTCGGACTGACCATCTGTTTGTGGATGACATGTCGTGCTCATGGCCAATGTGGCACCCTGAAGCCGATTTAACTCCTGCCAAAAAGAGTGCAAAAAGCGAGGATCTCGGTCCGTGACTATAGACTTCGGCGGCCCATGAAGCTTGACGATGTGAGCAACAAAAGCTTTGGCCACTGTGATAGCAGTGAAAGTAGCCGGCAATGGAATGAAATTCCCATACTTGGATAACCTATCGACAACTGTCATGATGGTTGTCTTACCACGCGAGGAAGGTAGGCAAGTAATAAAATCCATGGTAATCTCCTCAGAAACCTGATCCAGAATAGGCAATGGTTGTAGAAGTCCCGCTGGATGGTGGTGCAAATCCTTCATCTGCTGACAAATAGAGCAGGAAGCTACGAATACCTTAACATCATGGCGCATATTTTTTCCAATAAAAATTGGAAGACAACCGATGGAAGGTGCGGGTAACACCAGCATGGCCTCCAAGTGGGGATGAATGAAACTCATGTAATAGATGTAGGCAAAGAGATGGATCAGAAGGGAAAACCAGCCATCCTTTAAAGAAGCTGAAGATATAATCGTGATTATATGCTAGTTGAGAACGAATGCTCTGCTGGATGGCGAGCAACTCAGGATGCACTAAATTAACCTCGCGCAACTAATCAAATAATTGAAAAGATTGGCTAGAAATAGTCATGAGCGAGGCACAGGGCATGCGAGACAGAGCATTAGCAGCCAAATTGCTCTTTCCAGGTCGATACACAATGTCAAAGTCGTAACCAACCAACTTGCCCAACCATTTCTGCTGCTCTGGGGTTTGTATAACTTGGTTGGTTAAATTCTTAAGAGTTTGGTGGTCAGTAACAACGTTAAAACGCCGGCCAAGTAGATATTGCCGCCATTTGCTAACCCCTTGGGTTTTGGCAAACATCTCACGGACATAAGTAGATGCCTTCTGCATGCGGGTACATAGTTTTTGACTAAAGAAAGCCACTGGATGGCCGAGTTGTGAAAGGGCATCACCTACACCGATTCCGGAGGCATTCGAGAAGCGACAACACTGACGTGGAGCTAAGGCATAGCTTTGGCTCCTCAAAAGCCTTTTGAGCTTGAGGAGTCCATGAATATGCATCACTACGTAGCAGATCGGTTAAGGGGCCGGCAACTATGGCATAATTGCGAATAAACCGGTGATAATATCCGGCAAGGCCCAAAAAACTACAAACTTCCTTCACATTGCGGGGTGCTGGCCACTGTTGTATGGCAGAAATCTTTGTTGGATCAACTGACAACCCTTGTGGAGACAAGACATGTCCTAGATAGTCCACTCGCTCCTGACCAAATGTGCATTTAGCGAGTTTGGCAACCAATTGATGTTCCCGGAGAGTAGATAAAATAGACGTCAGATGCTCCAGGTGTTGGTCCCATGTTGGGCTCTAAACCAAGATGTCTTCGAAGAAAACCAAGACAAAGCGACGCAAAAATGTCCTAAATATTGAATTCATCGTTGCCTGAAACGTTGAAGGGCCACTTGACAATCCAAATGGCATCACAAGAAGCTCGGAGTGCCCCTCATGTATGCGAAAAGCCGTCTTTACAATGTCTTTAGGCCTTACCCAAATCTGGTGATATACAGATAATAAATCAAGTTTAGAAAAATATTGGGCACTATGGAGCTCATCAAAGAGTTCGTCAATGGTCGGGATAGGAAATCGGTCCCCAATGGTGATGGCATTGAGAGCGCGATAATCTACACCGCCAAGAGCCATCCTTCTTTCGAACCAAGAGAACTGGCGAGGAAAAGGGAGTGTGACTGGGGCGAATGAGCCCTTCCTCCAATATTTCATTAACTAACGTCTCCATAATCCGTTTTTGAAAATAGGGATACCTATATGGCTTCACATTGACCGGAGCTGCAGAAGGAGCTAAGTGAATAGCGTGGTCCTGTGGCCGGGCTGGTGGCAGGCCCTGGGGTTTGGTAAACACATCTTTGAAGGAATCCACCTGTAGACATGTGATTTTTGACCCTCCCCATGATTTTTCATATTTTAGCATGTAAATATTTAATGTAGGCCTAACATAGCTATTTCAACTATTTTTGACTTCTTTACTTTATTTTTGTCATAAAAATGGGAAATTACAAAAAAATATATATTAGCTTACATATCTTTCATAAATTTAAATAAAAAAATACAAAAATAGTACTTTATTTTTATCTCTACATAATCTTGAAAATACAAAAAAATATATAATAGTTTCATGTTAGCTTTTGCATTGTGTAGTATTTTTATCTTATTTTAAAGGGAGTCAATTAAGGTGTTGGATCACAATTTTAAGAGTATTAGAACCCAGTTCTTGGCCCAATTCGGATTAGTCCATTAAGCCTAGGGACCTTTCTAGACTCTTCTTTGGGATAAAAATAAATAAAAAGACCCTAAGGACTTAACACAAAAGACCTAGGGACTACTTGGCAAAATACACAAAATATAACCCTAATCCCTACCCCTATATAATAGTACCTACACCTAAAATAAAGAGACCCTATACAACAAAAAATAACACTGAAGAGAGGACCCGCCGCATCTGAACGAAAATATACAGAACCCCATCGATTTGATCTTCTCCTTTAGAGAAGAAGAGCCAAAATTCCATGGCTCCTTCCTAATCACAAACGACCAGCACCCCTAGAACTACTGCCATCAACCATCAACCCAAACCAGCTACCCCTGTTTTCTTCACGCACAACCATTCTCCAACTCAAAAATTCCAGCCGCTGAACAACACACACAGTCATGCACACTAATAGATTTGGAGCCATTTCTGAGTTCGATTCGTGTGGAGGTCGCCGTTGAAGGCAGCCTGTTGCGAATTCAACGAGGTTTTCGGTTCGAGATCTCGATTTTGCTGGCGGTTCCTGTTTGATTTTGTCGCTGTTGTTTTGTTTGAATTTGGAAGATAAGCATGGATTCTGATGGGGTTTGATCGAGGTTGTTTCTGGTTCGAGCCTCGTTGCTGGTTCGAATCCATTTATTGTTGTTCATCTCCATTTCTCATCGTTGGATGCTCGATTTCGTCTGAAATTTGAACTCGGAAGTTTGTATCTGTTGATTCTCAAAACCTTAAAGAATTTTTGGCTCAACAGGTTCAACTCAGCTCTTTCTCTTCCCATTGTTTCTGTTTGCTATGGATTGTGGGGTTTGTGTCTGTTTAGTCGACATTCTTTGTTAAGTTGCTTTTAATTGATTGTTTGGATCTTGAATCTTGTCATCTAAATTGGATGAATTCTGTTTGTGGATAGTTCTTGTTTGTGGTTGATATTATGTTAGAGTTGGATTCTATGAGTGAATCAGTAGAGTTTGGGTTTGGAATTAGCTGCTAGTTGCGATTTGCGCTCGAAAGAAATATTTGTCGATCTGTTCTTGTTATCTGATGTTCTCTCTGGCTGTTTGATGTGTTTGAATGTGAGTAATGAAAAAATATGAAACGTTTAGGCGAATAGCCTCATTCTGGGTTCGACTGATTTGCCTTCGATTTATTGAAACTGTATTTCATCCGTCTTGGTCAGTTTCAGAATATCAGATTTGGAGTAGTGTAATTGTGTTGGGACCTCTCAAATAGTTCTGGCAGTAGCTTTGTTTTAGTCCTCAAAATCAACTTGTAGTTAATAGTGCACATGGATTAACTTTAGTAGGAAGAAAAATATATTTCTGATTCTTGCTCATCTATAAAGTACTACATATTGATGCGAAAAATCTTGAGCTTTAATAATCGGGCTAATGATTTCGTGCGCTTAACAACACGGATTTCTCTTGGTCTCAATTTGCTGCTAATTTCCCCTAGTCGGTTTCAAAGTAATTTGATCACAAAGAGCGTCTAAATTCAATATCTCATGATGTGCTTGTTGGAATGATTATTTGATTTGTTTTGTGAACTAATCTGGTAAGCATTGGAATAAAGAGAGGTATATTGGGCTAAACTCTAAGAATGGATAGGTTGACAAAGAACTTGATGGGCATAGAACCTTTTATTAACTTTTTCTGTTGCGTGTGGCATGATTACGGGTTCCAATTAAGACAAACGTTTGCGTTCTCGCAACTTCGGTCAAGCTTTCCTTAATAATAAATTTGTTATTAGTATAGTCCTCTTTAATGAGGTGTAGTTCCTTAGACCGAGGTGTGCCGTGCCAAATAAAATCGCAATTGTGTGACCCTTGTTTTAATTAATCTTCGTCTTAATCCTTAGAATTCGAGGCGTGCCATTTAGCAAATTCCATGGCCCTCGCAAAGTGCAAACGCGTAGTTGCTTTAGGCACGTATTTTAATAATCTACTTTCTTAAACTCGGGTGCGCATTTATGTGACCCAAATCCAAATCCCTACAAAGTTAAAATATGTCAAAGACCTTGGGTGCATTTATGTGACGTGGTTTGAGACGTGTTTTAATAACGTTGCAATTCTCTTTAAAAATGAATTAAAGCGGTTAAAAAGTTAAAATTTGCACATAGGTTCATAATTGTTTAAAATCAGATAATTTAAGCCGAATATAACAGTTGAGCGACTGTGCTAGAACCACGGAACCCGGGAATGCCAAACACCTTCTCCCGGGTTAACAGAATTCCTTACTTGGATTTCTGGTTCGCGGACTGGTAAACAGAGTCATTCTTTTCCTCGATTCGGGATTCTAACCGGTGACTTGGGATACCATAAATCTCCCAAGTGGCGACTCTGAATATTTAATAATAATCCCGTTTCGATTGTCACTTCAAGTTGGAAATAACTCCCTTTATTATACCCTTTACGGGGTGTAGTAAGTTAGAAAAAGGAGGTGTGACAGCTCCTGGGGTTTGGTAAACACATCTTTGAAGGAATAACAAACAAAATAACGCCTGGGAAAACAAAAAGGAGGCACCATTTTTTTCATGTAAAGGGAAAGGCTGAAGATCTTCATCCTCCTTATGAAGATATAAGACCAACTCCAGCACCCAAACAGGTGTGACAGCTCTGGCGACTCTACTGGGGAACGAACCCAGAATCTCTGGTTCAGGGTTCAGAATTCGAGCTTAGATATATTGTTGTATTTGGCTTTGTTTATTATCGTATTTTATTACATGTTTGGGACTAATGTGCAAAATGTTGCTTTTTACCGCTTTTGATATTATCTGAACTGTATATATAAAACTGTTACGGAACCCTTCTCTTCTCATCTCCGGGGATGTGCTCGCTGGTCGAGACTCCCTATTCTATTAGTGTCAATACCTTAAAATAAGAAAGAGGCCGGACAAGTTACTAAGCCGGATGGCCTTTTGGTTCCCGGTACGTAGCCCCTTCCTCGACTCAAGTTGTCCGCTTGGGTACATAGTCTAGAACAAATACCCAGGTTTCGAACCTAGAATAACTCAGCCTCATGCCGGATCCCTAGTAGGAACGTTTGTGTGCATCATGTGCATTTGACTTAGGGGACTCAACACAGGGGTTGGGTCCGTCTAGGACAGGTGACCTGAAATGAAAATAGACCATCCTGATGCATCTTACGTACTGCTTGTGCATTTATTTGCTTTGGACTCACATGCTGACCGGCTTTTTGATATTGGGGATTGTTGAAAAGGAAAAGAAGGAGAGAGAAACAGCGGTATGAGGGCTAAAGAGAGATAATTACCTCTTTTGGAAAAACCAATGTCCAAATAGTGTCGAAACTCTGCCAAATTTTTGAGAAAAAGAAAGGAAAAAAAAAAGAGAGTCTTGTTTTCAAAATAGATTGTTTTATTTGCCAATGGAAAAAGAAAAAAAAAAGAGTCTTGTTTTCAAAAATAGTTTGTCTTATTTGCCAATGGAAAAAGGAAATAAAAAAGAAAGAAAGTCTTATTTTCAAAAATAGTTTGTTTTATTTACCAATGAAAAAGAAAAAAGAAGTCTTGTTTTCAAAAATAGTTTGTTTTGTTTGCCCGCACTATGCCAGTTTGATT